ATCTTGCGTGGATATTGGCCATAGTGTTCGAGCTTAACTAAACAGTAGTTACTTTAAGCTTTTTGGATAACATTGGTTAAGTGAGAGTTCTGAGAGCAATACAGTTGTCTGTGGATCTCCAATTTAGATTTACGCCATTTTCTCTCTGCTCGGCGCTGAGAACGTTTTGCTTCTAGAACATTTGAGTCATACCTTAGTGTATTAGGTCTGACAGTTACAGTTCTGTGTCTTGAAGGCGCATGTGAGTCTAGAAGGTCGGACAGAGTCTTGTTGTACAGAGTGGCAAGATCATTCACAGATTGGGGTGGATCTTGAAGAAGAGTTGAATTTAGCTAGTCAGATCTGAATTTACTATAATCAATAACTTTAAGATACCTACACACAAGATGAATATATCACTGTTAAGACACTAAGATCTTGGTTGTTATTGATAATTGTGTATCTTCCTGGATTATGGCCCCTGGTTGTTCGAAAAATCGCATTTTTAGCTTGCAGATTCTCTAGAGGTCACAATATTTTTTACGATTTTAAAAATGGTTTAAATATATCGCCATTCCACCATAATGAAGGTTGAATTCGAATTTTGGGAAAATTGAAATGAAACTGTCCCAAAAAAATGGCTGCACTTTGTACGCAAATTGTGTTAAAGTATGTTTTACGAAGGTTGTGGACCCTCTAGAGGTCACAATTTTCATCCGATTTTGATGAAACTTAAAATGTATGTTCATTACCCAAAGATCTCGGTTCCTTTCGATATTCGCGCATATCGGACCATATCTTCCTGGATTATGACCCCTGATTGTACAAAAAATCACATTATTTTTGTACGCCCACATGGAAATGTGGTCATGTATTGCCGTCGCTCACGTCCGTCCGTCATCTACAATTTTTTGTGAACATTCTACAGACTACACTTATCATCTGATTGTTTTGAAATTGATCTATGTTGTTTAGATTAGTGAGATGAAGAAGCCTATTTAAGTACAATAATTTTCGTTGATTTCTTCTGGAGTTATGTCCCTTGTTTCACTTTGTTGAACCTTGTGAACACTCTAACGACTAAAGTTATCATTCGATCTGTATGGAATTTATATGCATCATTTAAATTAGTGACACGAAGAAGCCTATTGAATTTGAGCAATTTCTGTTAATTCCGTCTAGACTCTAGAGTTATGGCCCTTGTTTCTTTTTGTTGAACCTTGTGAACTCTCCAATGACAAAAGTTATCATCCGATCTGTATGGAATTTATTTGCATCATTTAAATTAGTGAAACGAAAAAGCCTATTGAATTTGAGCAATTTCCTTTAGTTACGTCTGGAGTTATGGCCCTTGTTTCACTTTGTTGAACCTTGTGAACGCTCTAACAACAAAAGTTATCATCCGATCTGTATGAAATTTATATGCATCATTTAGATTAGTGAAACGAGGAAGCCTAATATTGAATTTCAGCAATTTCCGTTAAGTCTAGAGTTATGGCCTTTGTTTCACTTTGTTATTGTCCGTGTTTCACTTTATTGAACCTTGTGAACGCTCCAACAAAAAAAGTTGTTATCTAAACTGTATGAAATTTATAAACATCATTTATATTAGTAAAACACAGAATCACATTGAATTTCATCAATTTCCATTAATTTCTTCTGAAGTTATGGCACTTGTCTCCCTTTGTTGCACCTTGTAAATGCTCTAACGACAATAGTTATCATCCGATCTGTATGAAATTTACACAGATCATTTAAATTAGTGAAACGAAGACTCCTATTGAATTTCAGTAATTGCCAATAATTAGTCTAGAGTTATAGCCCTTGTTTAACTTTGTTGAAACTTGTGAACATTCGAAGGACGAAACTTATCATCTGATCTGTACGAAATTTATATGCATCATTTAAATTAGTGAAACAAAGAGTCCTATTGACCTTCAGCATTTTCAAATAATTACTTGTAGAGTTATGACCCTTGTTGAACCTTGTGAATGCTCAAATGATGTTTCAAGTTATCTTCCGATCTGTATGAAATTTATATGCATTATTTAGATTAGTGAAAACAAGAATCCTATCGAATTTCAGCAATTTCTGTCGATTACTTCTAAATTTATTGCCCTTGTTTTACTTTGTTGAACTTGTGAACGTTCAAATGGCAAAAGTTATAATCCAGTCTGTATGAAATTTATTTACATTTTTTGAATTAGTAAAATGAAAAAGCTGGTCAAGTTTCAGCAATTTATGTAAATTACTTCCCGAGTTAAGGCCCTTATTTCAGTTTGTAGAACTTTGTGAACAGTAAAACGACGAAAATTATAATCTGATCTGTATGAAATGTCTATTAGATTCCCCTAATTACCTACAAAAGTATAAATGTGTGACAACCCTTGTCGACTGCTCGGACGATTTAGCTGCTGTGGGCGTATGTTTCGTGGCCTGGCAACCTAATTTTTTTTTAGCTCTTTCTCTGTTCATCTCTTGCAAAATGTGGGCGTACATGTATCTTGCATGGCAACCGATTGTTTACAGGTAAAAGCAATATATGCGTTTTGGGTTTTGTTTTATATATTTGATTCTCTTTGATGAGATCAAAAACGCTCTAACTCCAAAAGTTATTATCCGATTGTTTTAAAATTGATATACATTAATTAAAATTGTATGTGGTTTACATTAGTAAGATGAAGAATCCTATTTAATTTCAATAAATTCTGTTCATTAAGGACGCAGACCACCATTAAATTTCACCATCCCGGTACCCACAAATTGTAGTTCGTCTATTTATAGCAATTCTCTCTCTGTCTCTTTTCTCCCCTTTTGCATGCCCATTTTTGTTGATTTTTTGGTCTAGAATGGATGAAGAGGCCAAAAGAGGGTTTGAATTAACATTTTCTGCCAGGTTTTGGTAAATATTCATGATTTTGAGGCGGAAGGATAACGGGGTTATCAGGTTGGCTACGGTGATATGTACGGCAACTAGTTACATGTTTTTAGTATGCTTCTTCAAGTTTGTGTATCTCAAAATTTGGGTGGTGAACCTCATACAAATTTTAGTGCAAAGACATGACCATTTATTCCTCTGTCTGTAGTGAAAAGCATTCAGCCCAACGAAAATTTGAGGAAAAGTTGGAGGTGGGCAAAGAGGCCACAATTAACCTTGAAGTCAATGTGGAAATTAATGGTGGAGTGTGGACTGCCTCCTGTATTGGACCATAACTTCATGGATTATGGCACCTGATTGTAGGAAAAATCCTGTTATTAGCTTGTGGACACTCTAGAGGTCACAATTTTCATCTGATTTTTATGAAACTTGAAATGCATGTTTATAACCCAAATATCTTGTTTCCTTTCAATATTTGCGCATATCGGATCCTAACTTCCTGAATTATGGCCCTTAATGTATGAAAAATTGCGTTTTTAGCTTGTGGACCCTATAGAGGTCACAATTTTTATCTGATTGAAAAAAACCTTTTAATATATCACCGTTACCCCCTGATGATGGTTGAGTTAGAATTTCATCAAAATCGGACGAAAACTGCCGGACAAATTGGTCTACCCTTGTACGCAAATAGTGTTATAATATGGTATATCAAGGTTGTGGATTCTCTAGAGGCCACAGTTTTTATCCGATTTGGATGAAACTTTAAATATATGTTTTTATCATAAAGATGTTGGTTCCTTTTGTTAATCACACATATCCGAATGTAAGTTCCTGGATTATGGCCCCTGATTTGGAATTTCGGGAAAATCGAAATGAAATTGTCTAACAAAATGGCCGCTCTTTGTACGCAAATTGTGTATAAAGATGTAATACAAAGGTTATGGACCCACTAGAGGTCACAATTTTAATCCGATTTTGATGAAACTTAAAACATATCTTTATATTCCAAAAATATCAGTCTCTTTTGATATTTGCACATTTCAGACGATAACTTTCTGGATTATGGCCCCTGATTGTACAAAAAATCATTTTTGTATTTGGTCTTGTTCTCTATCCATCTCTTGCAAAATGTTGGCATATCCTTCCTGGCTGCCGCTGGTAATTTTACCATGGCACACAGGCACAGAGTATAGTGTGGCTCTCACACAGGTTCATTCATTCAACTCATTCAAGATCCTGGGCAAAGACAAAATGCCTGATATAAGCATTAAGCCTATCTGGTGGATAGTCAAACGTTTTGTCCCTAGTTTGTAACATAGTAGGGTCGTTCAGGGGTAGAAACTAACCTGAAATGATCACTAGCCATTTGAGCTAGTAGCTTTCAGATCTTACTAGCCCAGCCAACATTCTACTAGCCCAGTAAGAAACTGACACAAGACGTAAAATTTCTGATTTAGACTGTTGTTTTGTTCATCATTAATCGATCAAAAACACCAAAATACATGCACTTAAATTTATTTTGGCACATTGCCTCTGTTTTTTCATCAAATAATGAATTCATTAATCAGTCATGAAGACTCGTTTTCTAGGTTTTCTCTAGGCACTCAGGTTTCATCCACATAAGTGATTAATTATTGAAATATAATTATACCATCCATTAGATTGTAAATTAGAAACTACGGCACTATTTTGTCCTATTGATCTCAGGACAAGTCTATTGCACAATATATAATACCCCTCTAAATAAGAAACAGGAAGAATTGGAAGATTTGGATGAAAGATAAGAAAAAAAAAAATTGGCCTTGGATATAAAGCTAATGATGAGATAAAACCATACTGGTCAAGAATTTTAGTAATAAACTAAAATAGAACAATATAATTTTAATCATACATATATAAGGTGTTATTCTTTTAAGCAGTATATTATTTAATACTAGGTTTTAGAAACTTTTTTTCCCAGGATTTTGCATGTAGTCAATAAAAGTTTAAAAATACTATATTACCGGTAATTTAGAGCTCAAAAGATCATTCATAACAAAATTTTCCCCGTTCAAAACTGCTTTATATGGCAACTGTGTAGATAGTCCTATTACTAGCATAAAATTCAATTTATTGAATTTACATCATTAATATTATTTTTCAGGTTACCAAATATTAACAATAAATATGAGTGAATTTACAGTTCATCATCATGTTAGTGAACTTATGAATTTGTTGAGGTATGTTCATCTAGATTTACATCTAAGTAATAAGGATTGTTTCACAATCACAACCTATAGTCCTCTCCATTACGAAGAAAGCAGGGGACTGTCAAAGTAGGTTTGTTTGTCCTTTTGGGACACAATAGTGAATAACTGTGGTTCTTATTGATCTCAATCTGATTAAAATACATATTCGTTTTTTATACGCCCAAATTTTCATGTGGACGTATATTGTCGTCACCACTGTCCGTCCGTCCACAATTGTTTGTGTACAGGTCACAATTTTTATACGCCCACATTTTCATGTGGACGTATATTGTCATCGCCCCTGTCCGTTCGTCCACAATTGTTTGTGGACACTCTACAGGTCACAATTCTTATCCGATTTTGACGAAACTTGAAATATAGGTTTATCTCCAAAAGATCTCGGCTGCTTTTGATATTGGCATGTATCGGATCGAAATTTCATGGATTATGGCCCGTTTGTTCAAAAATAACGTTTTTAGCTTGTGGACCCTATAGAGGTCACAATTTTTATCCGATTTTGTTGAAACTTGAAATGTAAGTTTATATCCCAAAGATCTCGGTTTCTTTCGATATTCGCGCATATCGGACCGTAACTTCCTGAATTATGGCCCCTGATTGTACGAAAAATCGCGTTTTTAGCTTGTGGACCCTATAGAGGTCATAATTTTTATCCGATTTAAAAAAACATATTATTATATCACCGTTACACCCTAAGGACAACTGAGTTCATATTTCGTGAAAATCGGCCCAAAATTGACAGACAAAATGGCCGCCGTTCGTTCTCAAATAGCGTAAAAATATGGTATATCAAGGTTGTGGACCCTATAGAGGTCACAATTTTTATCCTATTTTGTTGAAACTTGAAATGTAAGTTTATAACACAAAATCCTCGGTTCCTTTCGATATTTGCGCATATCGAATTGTAATTTCCTGAATTATGGCCCTTGATTGTAGGAAAAATCACTTTCTTTTTAGCTTGTTCTCTATCCATCCTTCGAAAATGTGGGCTTATCCTGTCTGGCAGCCGCTGGTTTAAATCCTTATTCACACACTGTTTGAGAGTTCGGTTTTCTCAATCCGATTTTTGAGAATGCCATTTCTGCGCATGTGCACACAGACTTTTTAAAGACAACAGTCCACCCGATAAACCTTTTGATTGGAATATGGAATAAGCCAATTGCATGATGATCAAAATCATAGAATTGGAGAACACAGTCAGTACATCACGGAGACCCCTCTTAGATCTGTTTTCAATGTGTGCTGATCACAAACTAGAACAATACCTAATTAGGCTATTGAATTTTTTATACGCCCACATTGAAATGTGGTCATATATTGTTGTCGCCCCTGTCCGTCTCTCTAGAGGCTAAAGTTAATATCCAATTGACTTTCAATTTATACACAGTGTTTAAGGTCATGAGACGAAGAAGTCTATTCATTTTCAGCGATTTTCGATAATTACTTCCAGAGTTATGGCCCTTGATCACTTCAAAAAATCTTGTGGACGCTCTAGAGGCCAAAGTTAATATCCGATCGACTTTTGATTCATACACAGTGTTTACCGTCATAAGACGAAGAAGCCTATTGATTTTCAGCAATTTCTGATAAAAACTGCCCTCGATCACTTCAAAAAATCTTGTGGATGCTCTAGAGGCTAAAGTTAATATCCGATTGACTTTAAATTTATACACAGTGTTTGAGGTCATGAGACAAAGAATCCTACTGATTTCCGATAATTACTGCCAAAGTTATGGCCCTTGATCACTTTTAAAAACTTGTGCCGCTCTAGAAGCTAAAGTTATCATATGATTGATAATTACTTTATGAAGTTCAGAAGTTGTTACTCTTAATCAGATTTTAGTGTATTATAAATGTTTCATTACCAAAAAAAGTAAAAAATATGCGACAACACTTTTTGACTGCCCGGACGATTTAGCTGCTGTGGGCATATGTTTCGTTGCCTGGTAACCTATCTTTATTTAAAGTGTTTCTGATAAGTATTAACAAATTCATTAACTATATGAAATAAACAATGGTCTTCACAATAGTTATTTGTCTAGATCACGATTCTCGATAATAAAACCAAAGAAGATGTCTACAATGGCTCTTCATTGCATACCGGGCTGGTATGAAGCTTCTTGTGCTGTTATGTCACTTATCGTGAAATAGTTCCAAATCTTACTACGGTATTGCTGGCATGCATTTTTTTCCCTGCTTTTTATATTGTCATAATGAGTAGAAGTTTTGGAAAAGGTGGGAAAATATCACATGGTTTACCCATGATTGGAATGAAAGATGAAAGGGGGTATATCCCTTTGATGTCACTTGATTACTATCAGGCATTCATTCCGACTTCTAGAGTAGATGCAAATAAAAATTTAGAAATAATTTAGTGATTTGTATTGTTATGCTAGGCTGCGCTACTTTAAAAATTTAGACATAATTTGTATCAATAAATAATAACTTATAATATAGATCATACTACCAACAAATGAGTTTCCATTATATGGTTTTATTATACGCCCACATTTTCAGGTGGACGTATATTGTCGTCGCCCCTGTCCATCCGGACGTCAGTCCACAATTATTTTGTGGACACTCTACGGGTCACAATTATTATCCGATTTTGATAAAACTTGAAATATAGGTTTATCTCCAAAAGATCTCAGTTGCTTTCGATATTGGCATGTATCGGATCGAAACTTCATGGATTATGGCCCCTGTATGACCAAGCTTAGACGACATATTTCTTCCCCCCTACTTTGAATATCTTGCCTCCTGGCAAGAAAAATAACAAGTGATAAACATAATTAAATAATAGAATCATACAGGTAAGATGTCTTTGCAATTAATATTGCAAAAATTCACAACATGTAGTAGGAAATCAATAGTTTGGGGTACATATATACATACATCGAATACAAAAAAAGTTAACAAATGAAATCAAAAACGTGTGCAGCTTATCATGTAATGTAATATTTCATAACATTACAATATAATATATATGATAATAATAGGTAACTTTTAAACTGTTCATAAGATTGGATACAAAAAATGTTTTCAGTCTTTGATACATGAAACCACGTCAGATACTGTGAACTTATTGAATGTTATGTGCACCTTGAATAGACTGTCTTGTATAAGATTTCTTGTGACTTGTGTTTGATACCTACTTCCATATCATGTTGAAGAATTAATAATACTGTCCAATAATCGTCACATATAAAGTCGTATGAACACAAGCACATTTGAATACATATTGTGTCATCTTAATTCCCATCTATTTCTATGACATGAACTACTGTTGGGTAGTTATATTTAAGTAGTCCCATTCATAAAATTATCCATTAGGGTTTCACAAGTATATTGCGGTCCGTTTTATCATTATGCTTCTATCTGAGAAGCTCACATTTGAAACATAACAGGTGTTACATTTTTTTTAAAAACTACACCTGGTTGTGTACATTTTATAATGTCTTTCTTCTTTTCCTTCATCTTGGGGTGATGTACTATAAACTTTGCCATGCTTGTTCTTGAAGAATCATGCATTGATTGACATACTTCGATTTTTGATATAACGTCGCAATTCTATGATGGCTGTGATGCGGATAATTCCAATCAGCTCTGTTTTTTGGAATGGTCTGAATACAGGTTCCTCCAGTTATTCCTGATCAGCAGCAAACTTTATGTTTAGCATGTGTTCTTTGATTGTCATTCTGTACATTCCATTGTAGCCTACTGATTGGGTTTTGTTGTTTTTCTGGCTTTCATGACCATTGTGGTGTGGTATCGTCGGACATAAGAGATGAGATGTCTCTTTGTCTGCTATCTAAATACAACCTGAGGAAAAAGCTCATATAACCATGTTATTATTGATCTGCCAAGATCATTGATTGGAAATATAAAAGTAATTAGATTTTTTTATATATATATATATATATATTAAACATTAAATCCTATGCAATAAAACTTTTGTTTGTAAAGATTAAAACAATGAATACATATAATTATATTGAAACAAGCTTGGAGATTAGTGTCTGACTATAGGTATTACTGGTCTCAATTTACACTGTATAATAATTCTGTTAAAATAAAATGACAAGAACTTTATGTATGAATATGCATAATACAAGAAAAATATGTTGTCCAAGCATACTGTTCAAATGCTTGGTTATACCTGTTTGTACGAAAAATCACGTTTTTAGCTTGTGGACCCTATAGAGGTCACAATTTTTATCCGATTTTGTTGAAACTTGAAATGTAAATTTATAACCCAAAGATCTCAGTTCCTTTCGATATTCGCGCATATCGAACCGTAAGTTCCTGAATTATGGCCCCTGATTGACCGAAAAATCGCTTTTTTAGCTTGTGGACCCTAAAGAGGTCATAATTTTTATCAGATTTAAAAAACCGTATTATTATATCACCGTTACACCCTAAGGAAGATTGAGTTCAAATTTCCTGAAAATCAAACCAAAACTGCCGGACGAAAATGGCCGCCGCTTGTACGCGAAAGGTGTAAAAATATGGTATATCAAGGTTGTGGACCCTGTAGAGGTTACAATTTTAATCCGATTTTGATGAAACTTGAAATATAAGTTTATAACCCAAAGATCTTGTTTTCTTTCGATATTTTGTTCTGATTTTGATGAAACTTGAAATGTAAGCTTATAACCCAAAGACCTTGGTTCCTTTCGATATTTGCGCATATCGGACCATAAGTTCCTGAATTATGACCCCTGATTGTACGAAAAATCACTACTTTAGCTTGTGGACCCTATAGAGGTCATAATTTTTATCTGATTTAATAAAACGTTTTATTATATCACCGTTACACCCTAAGGATGGCTGAGTTTGAATTTCGTGAAAATCGGTCCAAAACTGACAGACAAAATGGCCGCCCTTCATTCTCAAATAGCATAAAAATATGGTATATATCAAGGTTGTGGACCCTATAGGTCACAATTTTTATCGTATTTTGTAGAAACCTGAAAAGTAAGTTTATAACCCAAATATCTCGGTTCCTTTCGATATCCGCACATATCGGACCGTAACTTCCTGAATTATTCCCCCTGATTGTACGAAAAATCACGTTTTTAGCTTGTGGACCCTATAGAGGTCATAATTTTTATCCGATTTAAAAAAACATATTATTATATCACCGTTACACCCTAAGGACGGCTGATTTCGAATTTCGTGAAAATGGTATATCAAGGTTGTGGACCCTATGGAGGTCATAATTTTTATCCGATTTTGTTGAAACCTGAAAAGTAAGATTATAACGCAAAGATCTCGGTTCCTTCTAATATTTGCCCATATCGGACAGTAACTTCCTGAATTATGGCCCCTGATTGTACGAAATATCACGTTTTTAGCTTGTCGACCCTATAGAGGTCATAATTTGAGGACGCTGTAGAGGCTAAAGTTAATATCTGATAGACTTTAAATTTATACACAGTGCTTAAGGTCGTGAGACGAAGAAGCCCGGTGATTTTCAATGATTTCCAATAACTAATACCAGAGTTATGGCCCTTGATCTCTTTGAAAAATCTTGTGGATGCTCTAGAGACCAAAGTTATCATCTGATTGACTTTAGATTGATAAACGGAGTTAAAGGTCTTGAGATGAACAAGTATATTGATTTTCAATGAATTTTGATTACTTGAACAGCTAAATCCATGATATTAAATGTTTCGTATACTAAACATTAGCATGGGGCAGAACTTATAACCAAACAATTTAGAGTTCTAATGATTTTTGGATAATTACTTATAGTTGTTACTCTTAATCAGATTTTTGTTTATTATAAATGTTTCATTACCGACAATAGTAAAAATATGCGACGACTCTTGTTGACTGCTCGGACGACTTAACTGCTGTGGGCGTATGTTTCGTTGCTTGGCAACCTATCTTTTCTTTGTGTGTGTGTTGCCTACAGACAACGATTCTTAATGGATTGTCTTGAAACTTGGCATATGTGTTCCTTATAGCCTAAATGTAAGGGGTATTGAAATGCAGGTTGTGATATGATAAATAGTCATGGACACTTAACATGCTTTGAGAGTATGTTCACAGATGAAGTACTTATTGCCCCAACAGAAACACTGAGCTGCACATGCGACACGCAATAGCGCCATACACGTGGGAGGGGTTTATTGTAAAATTTGACACTTCAAGGAAGGATTGATCAAAACTGCAGCGTGCTGGTTTATCTATCCATGTTTGCTTTCCTATCAGTTCTTGCGTAAGATTTACTGTTTAGCACATCTTTGCTTTAGTGTGTTACGTTTAATTTGATCAGGGGACGTGTTCGTCGACATGGCACGAATTGGCCGTGGCACTGCAAGAGGAGTGGGTCAGATTGCCCCAAATCGTGATTGGACGGTTGATTAGGAGCCTACCGCGACGAATTGCTGAATGTCTGAGGATTTGTGGAGCACTTACCCATTATTAATACAAAAATCAAAAACGTCCATTTTCACTTTTGACGGTGTATCTCTTTGCAAGTGAAATGGGACCGCAGTCCATGCGAAAGCCGTCGGACCGTCGGTCATTACCGATAAAATAGCTCTCGGTCCGGTATTTTCATCATGAATACCGGCCCAGTTGTCCGGAAAGATTCTGGACCCGGTTTACTGACTGCTGGTTGTATTAAATCATCGACGTATTGGCATTGACTGACGGCACTTCGTTCACGGACTGTTGAATTCTCGTTTAATTTATTGTGTTAATTTCACAATTGTTTAAAATGTAAACAAAATGTAAATAAAATTCACTCATTTTATTTTAGAAAAGAATAACTGTAGGCTCGATAGAAGAGCCTATTCTACATGAACCCCAAATCAATGGTAACTGTCAACTTGTATGTTGTCATTCTCGTGCAGATTTGTTTGAATAACAGAAATGTCTCGTGTATCAAAGATCAAAGAATAAAATCGCACGTAGCCACTCTTTGTTATTTTTATGCGAATTCAATTTATCTAAAAGGGGCTCCGGCGCAATTTAAGGAATTATTTTTGACCCAATATTAACCATCGCCAATTTTTTAAATCATGGGATAAAGTTAATTAACAAACAATACGGGTCTACTTTATTACAAAAACATTGGTGAACTTACCATTTTGTCTAAAATCATAACGCTAATCAACAAACAATATTATTGTTCTTTATTACAAAAACATCGGTGAACTATATTGTTTTTGGTTCATATTGTATTTATTTATTTGTTTGTACTATATGTTATACCTGATGAGTCCTTGGCTTAAAGGAATAAAGAATTTGAACTCGAACTAATCGCTGTCGGGATGGTGAGCCAAGCTAGTTGATTATTAGGTAAATAAAACAATATAAACAACCAATGAGTAAAACTGATCTATTCTAATCAATTAAATAATATACAAGTCAAGTACCGGTATTACCTTAACTGTGGACGGGTTAACCGACACTCAACTTACAAATATTAAATCATCGCCGTATTGGCACTGACTGACGGCACTTCGTGCACGGACTGTTGAATTCTCGTTTAATTTATTGTGTTAATTTCACTATTGTTTAAAATGTAAACAAAATCTTATCTCGAGTACGTAGCACCGTATATCGAGCTAGTCTAGTAAGTAGTAGGCTAGGTTAATCCAGACTAAAACGAAAGTCCTTTTATTGTATTAATAACATTGGCTTCTGGTAGACTCGATTGTCATCTAAGGGATTATATATGGTTATCTTTGTTATCATTAACACAAAATGACAATTAAGGAAGTGTGCGAAAAAGTCTTTATACAATAGATAATCTTTGTAATAAAGTAAAGTGTTTTCCCCCTTATATATACTGTTTGTTGTTTTTCGAGTTTTAGGCCATTATTACTTATTTTATGCATATTTTTGGTATGAACTTTTTTGGACCAGTAAAATCTCATTCGGTCCAGTAATAGTTGGAATAATACCTGCCCAAATGTCCAGTAAAAAAAATATCATTTCGCATGGACTGTGGGACCGTCAGATAAGCCACCCATATGAACCGTTTATGTTCATGTGTAGGCAATTGGCCTGTTATTAACATACATTGGTTACCTCTAATAAAAACTGCATTTCCGCAGTTTTGTATTGTTTTTGAATATCCCCTACTTTTTTTGAAGAGTATATATGTATTTTTAGTGTTCGATCTACTGATACTTTTGGTGCAGAAGATTACACAGAGATGCTTTTAAAGAATAGAACACCTTATGTCACAACTCAGGTAATTTTTCCCTCTGGACCTTATGCATTCAATATTTGTTCTTTATGTTTATTTTTATAGTACACAACTTCTACAAATAATTGCTCTCATTGACTTAAAATCATGTGCGCTTTACTAAATACGGTATGAAAATAAAATAGATAAACTAAAATCCAAATAAGACATGAATGTGGACATTGAAACCAACTTAAAGTACAGGGGGCAGTTTCACAAAGCAACTTACGATGAAAAATTTGCGTAAGTTTATCGTAACGTAAACTTACGTAAAAATCGCGTTTCACTAAAATTCTTAACTTACGAAATTCGTAACTTTTATCGTAAAGTCTACGGCAACTCTCACCTTGTTGTAATTTGGAATTTTTTTCGTATCTTTGACAAAATGGCCGCCTTGTTACTTTATGCGGATCGGCAACTTCGACGAGAGAGAATATTCTGGGATAGATTAAACCCTCTCGACACCCATACAGATGAGGAGTTAGTTTCGCGGTACAGACTTGATCGGACCAGTATATTACATCTTATTAACTGTATTATTATTAATAATGATGATATCGAAACCGCAACTTACCGATCGAAATCCTTGTCATCACCTGTACAAGTCCTGATTGCATTACGATACTATGCCACAGGTAGCTTCCAAAAACTCATTGCTGATGCACATGGGATGAGTGTACCATCAGTGTCTAGAGTAATTTATCGTGTTTCACGAGCAATAACAACCTGTGTTGACGATAAATTATCAATAAATTTCCCCTATTCCATGGAAGATATCAATTCTACAAAGGAAGGTTTTCACCAAATAGCAGGCTTCCCAAATGTAGTGGGAACGATTGATGGTACACAAGTTGCCATCATAGCACCATCGTGAGAAAATGAGCCGCTGTTCGTCTGCAGGAAAGGGTTTCATTCCATTAATGTTCAAGCAACAGCTGATTCTAAACTCAGGTAAATGTACGAATTATCGTCTTGTTTTAACTTTAAGCTTCAACATGACACGCGATAAGGGGACTCGTCGTAAAATTACATAGTTCACTGCATAGTTCCTTCAGAATCCCATAATTCTGTTCAACCCCCTTAATTAAAACACCGGGAGCTGCCGGGTTCCAATTTTGTTTTCGCCTTTTTGGTTCCATTTCGGCTTTTGGCAGACGACGTATGGTACTATGTCACGCGCTATGACGTAGCAAACAAAAACAAGTAAACAACAGGCATGAAAATAGCATTTTATTCATAAATACACCGCTAAATCTTAGCATATATATAAGGAATATATCATTTTGTCGTTTATGTTTCAAAAGGTAAGGATCAAATCAAACATAACGGCTATAATGCCGACATTGTCAACATTCAGTCCGTGGGAATGTTTACAGAAGTGTGAATGAAGTGACGCAACATGACGTCACGACCATTCGTGACGTATTTACGAAAAAAGATAGGAGAAAAAGTTAAGAAAAAACTTACGCCGGCCTTTGTGAAACCGGCGTAAATAATTCGTATCTTTTTCGTAAGTTTTTCTTAACGTAGTTTTTTTTTTCTTTAAGTTACGAACTTTTGTGAAACTGGCCCCTGGTAGCTAAGTCTTTAACACAGTAACACAGTCTTTGACATTGCAAACACAACTTACTGGTTAAATTAAATCAAAATTGATGTTGGTATCTTACCGTGAAAAGATGGGATTCTGGTATCCAATATTTAAGACACAATGAAAATTTTAAACATGGCACACGAATCATGTGCCAGAATGCTTTTGAGCGTCATTTTGTAATGATGTGACTGGATGAAAGAGGCTAAACATATCCCACAAGGGAAGACTACCGGTAATACACTAGAATAATCAGACGTCAAAGACTGTCATTGAGTTTGCACTCTTTTCGTAATTTCGCCAAACATAACTGATTAGAAATTACAGTAAAAACAGAAACGATTGAATATAAATCAGGTTATATACATTCATATTACATTATTATTATTATACACGTTGCGACCCATTTGTGTCTATTTCTAGGTGCCAAAGAATAGCGAATTAGCGCCTTTAAAATCATGCGCATTGTGACATTTTTATATGCCCACATTTTCATGTGGACATATGCCGTCGCCCCTGTCCGTGCGTCCGTCCACAATTTGTTTGTGGACACTCTAGAGGTCACAATTCTTATCCGATTCTGACGAAACTTGAAATATAGGTTTATCTCCAAAAGATCTTGGCTGCTTTCGATATTGGCATGTATCGGATCGAAACTTCATGGATTATGGCCCCTGTTTGTACGAAAAATCACGTTTTTATACGCCCACATTTTCATGTGGACGTATATTGTCGTCGCCCTTGTCCGTCCGGACGTCCGTCCGTCCGTCCACAATTTGTTTGTGGACTCTCTACAGGTCACAGTTCTTGTCCGATTTTGACGAAACTTGAAATAAAGGTTTATCTCCCAAAAAATGTCGGCTGCTTTCGATATTGGCATGTATCGGATCGAAACTTCATGGATTATGGCCCCTGATTGTACGGAAAATCACGTTTTTAGCTTGTGGACCCTATAGAGGTCACAATTTTTATCCGATTTTTTTGAAACTTGAAATGTAAGTTTATAACCCAAAGATCTCGGTTCCTTTCGATATTCGCGCATATCGGACCATAACTTCCTGAATTATGGGCCCTGATTGTACGAAAAATCGCGTTTTTAGCTTGTGGACCCTATAGAAGTCATAATTTTTATCCGATTTAAAAAAACGTGTTATTATATCACCGTTACACCCTAAGGATGGCTGAGTTCGAATTTCATGAAAATAGGCCCTAAATTGACAGACAAAATGGCCGCCGTTCGTTCTCAAATAGCGTAAAAATATGGTATATCAAGGTTTTGGACCTTTTTGAGTTCACAATTTTTATCCGATTTTGTACAAACTTGAAATGTAAGTTTATAACACAAAGATCTCGGTTCCTTTCAATATTTGCCCATATCGGACCGTAACTTCCTGAATTATGGACCTGATTGTACGAAAATTCATGTTTTTAGCTTGTGGACCCATTAGAGGTCATAATTTTTATCCGATTTAAAAAAACGTATTATTATATTACCGTTCCACCCTAAGGACAGTTGAGTTTGATTTTTGTGAAAATCGCCCCAAAATTGACAGAAAAAATGGCCGCCATTCGTTCTCAATTAGCGTAAAAATATGGTATATCAAGGTTGTGGACCCTATAGAGGTCACAATTTTTATACGCCTTCATTTTCATGTGGACGTATTATGCCATCGCCCCTGTCCGTCCGTCCGTCCGTCCACAATTGTTTGTGGACTCTCTACAGGTCACAATTCTTATCCGATTTCGACGAAACTTGAAATATAGGTTTATCCCCAAAAGATCTTGGCTGCTTTCGATATTGGCATGTATCGGATCGAAATTTCATGGATTATGGCCCCTGTTTGTACCAAAAATCACGTTTTTAGCTTGTGGACCCTATAGAGGTCACAATTTTTATCCGATTTTGTTGAAACTTGAAATGTAAGTTTATAACCCAAAGATCTCAGTTCCTTTCGATATTTGCGCATATTGGACAGTAACTTCATGAATTATGGCCCCTGATTGTACGAAAAATCGCGTTTTTAGCTTGTGGACCCTATAGAAGTCATAATTTTTATCCGATTTAAGAAAACGTTCTATCATATCACCGTTACCCCCTAAGGATGACCGAGTTTGAATTTCGTGAAAATCGGCCCAAAATTGACAGACAAAATGGCCGCCGTTCGTTCCCAAATAGCGTAAGAATATGGTATATCAAGGTTGTGGACCCTATAGGGGTCACAATTTTTATCCGATTTTGTTGAAACTTGAAATGTAAGTTTATAACCCAAAGATCTCGGTTCCTTTCGATATTCGTGCATATCGAACCTTAACTTCCTGAATTATGGCCCCTGATTGTACGAAAAATCACGTTTTTAGCTTGTGGACCCTATAGAAGTCATAATTTTTATCCGATTTAAAAAACTGTTCTATTATATCACCGTTACACCCTTAGGATGACTGAGTTCTAATTTCGTGATAATCGGCCCAAAATTGACAGACAAAATGGCCGCCATTCGTTCCCAAATAGCGTAAGAATATGGTATATCATGGTTGTGGACCCTATAGGGGTCACAATTTTTATCCGAATAGGGGTCACAATTTTTATCCAATTTTGTTGAAACTTGAAATGTAGGTTTATAACCCAAAGATCTCGGTTCTTTTCGATATTCGTGCATATCGGACCGTAACTTCGTGACTTATGACCCCTGATTGTACGAAAAATCACGTTTTTAGCTTGTGGACCCTATAGAAGTCATAATTTTTACCCGATTTAAAAAAACGTATTATTATATCACCGTTACACCCTAGGGACGACTGAATTCGAATTTTGTGAAAATCGGCCCAAAATTGACAGACAAAATGGCCGCCGTTCGTTCTCAAATAGCGTAAGAAAATGGTATATCAAGGTTGTGGACGCTATAGAGGTCACAATTTTTATCCGATTTTGTTGAAACTTGAAATGTAAGTCTATAACCCAAAGATCTCGGTTCCTTTCGATATTCGCGCATATCAGACCGTAATTTCCTGAATTATGGCCCCTGATTGTACGAAAAATCGCGTTTTTAGCTTGTGGACCCTATAGAGGTCATAATTTTTATCCGATTTAAAAAAATGTATTATTATATCACCGTTACACCCTAAGGACGACTGAGTTTGAATTTCATGAAAATCGGCCCAAAATTGACAGACAAAATGGCCGCCGTTCATTCTCAAATAGCGTAAAAATATGGTATATCAAGGTTGTGGGCCCTATAGAGGTCATAATTTTTATCTGATTTTGTTGAAACTTTAAATGTAAGTTTATAACCCAAAGATCTCGGTTCCTTTTGATATTTGCGCATATCGAATTGTAATTTCCTGAATTATGGCCCTTGATTGTAAGAAAAATCACTTTCTTTTTAGCTTGTTCTCTATCCATCTCTCGAAAATGTGGGCGTATCCTGCCTGGCAGCCGCTGGTTGTTGAAGCATGTCAAGCATGGAAGGCTTAAAGATGCTATTTCCTGAAGATGACGATCTCTAGTAACAGAATATTTTACTGCTTGTCTTATAATCAGATAGTTGTGACATGCAACTAAAATAATGTATAACATTGTATTCACATGAACTGCATGCATCAAATTGGAATTAAGAGCTGAAGTTTATCATTAAATTAGACAAATAGTTGTTTTGAAGTGAGGGTCAGTATTTCATATTTTACAATACACACTTGAAATCACTAATTCATATTACTGCAGGTTTCAGCACATCAAGCTAAAAGAAAAATTGCTGAATCTTCAAAAACACCAATAGAATTCTTAGCTAAATATGATGAACTAAAGGGAAAGAAGTAAGGTTGTTTTTTTCTGTAAATAATATATTTTTTATATCCAATCTTTTTGTCTTCATTAATGCAAACAAAAGCAACACTATGGAATTTACATTTTTGGTTGGAAAACTTAGTAGAATAATATAAACATATATTTTTGTTATGTTGAATATTCTGAGTATAATTGTAATTTTATATGATTACTTTTCAACTTCAAGGCTTTAGAGGTTTATTTCTTGTATTCATCATTTTTTCTTAACAGTGTAAGAGATTTGGATTCATTGGTATATTTATTATCCAAATTGGCTGAAGATGATCAGGTGGGTTTGTCTTCATTTTTATACACCCACATTTTTATGTGGACGTATTATGCAGTCCGTCCACAATTTGTTTGTGGACACTCTATAGGTCACAATTTTTATACGCCAACATTGAAATGTGGTCGTATATTGTTGTCAGGCCGGCCGGCCATCTAGAGGCTAAAGTTAATACAGTGTTTAAGGCCATGAGACAAAGAAGCCTATTGATTTTCAGCGATTTCCGATAATTACTGCCAAAGTTATGGCCCTTGATCACTTCAAAAAATCTTGTGGACGCTCTAGAGGCTAAAGTTATTATCCGCTTGACTTTAAATTTATACACAGTGGTTAAGGTCATGAGACGAAGAAGCCTATTGATTTTCAGCAATTTCCGATAATTATGCCAGAGTTAAGGTCCTTGATCACTTCAAAAAATCTTGTGGACGCTCTAGAGGCTAAAGTTAATATCTGCTTGACTTTAAATTTATACACAGTGTTTAAGGTCATGAGACGAAGAAGCCTATTGATTTTCAGTGATTTTTGATAATTACTGCCAGTGTTATGGCCCCTGATTACTTCAAAAAATCTTGTGGATGCTCTAGAGGTTAAAGTTAATATCCGATTGACTTTAAATTTATACACAGTGTCTGAGGTCCTGAGGCGAAGAATCCTATTGATTTTCAACGATTTCCGATTAATGCCAAAGTTATAGCCCTTGATTCACTTTTTTGAATTGTCTGTATGTTTGTGTTTTCCTGAGTTTGATGTCCTGTCCGTGTATTTGTTTTTGTGTAAATTTTGTGTGGTGCAGTCCCCCTGCACTTACTATTAGAAAAATCTTGTGGCGTTCTAGAGGCTAAAGATATCATCCGATTAGTGCATAGTGGTTATATATTCACATGTTTTTTATACGCCCACATTTTCATGTAGACGTATATTGTCGTCACCCCTGTCAGTCCAGATGTCTGTCCGTCCACAATTGTTTGTGGACACTCTACAGGTCACAATTTTTATACGATTTCAACAAAACTTGAAATATAGGTTTATCTCCATAAGATTTTGGTTCCTTTCGATATTGGCATGTATCTGACTGTAACTTCATGGTTTATGGTCCCTGATTGTACGAAAAATCAAGTTTTTAGCTTGTGGACCCTATAGAGGTCACAATTTTTATACGCCCACATTTTCATGTGGACGTATATTGTCGTTGACCCTGTCCGTCCGTCTGTCCACAATTGTTTGTGAACAGTCTACAGGTCACAATTCTTATCCGATTTTGACGAAACTTGAAATATAGGTTTATCCCCAAAAGATCTCAGCTGCTTTCGATATTGGCATGTATTGGATCGAAACTGCATGGATTATGGCCCCTGATTGTACGAAAAATCACGTTTTTAGCTTGTGGACCCTATAGAGGTCACAATTTTTATCCGATTTTGTTGAAACTTGAAATGTAAATTTATAACTCAAAGATCTCGGTTCCTTTCGATATTCGCGCATATCGGACCATAACTTCCTGTATTATGGCCCCTGATTGTACGAAAAATAGCGTTTTTAGCTTGTGGTCCCTATAGAGGTCATAATTTTTATCCGATTTAAAAAAACGTATTATTATATCACCGTTACACCCTAAGGACGACCGAGTTCGAATTTCGTGAAAATCGGACCAAAACTGACAGACAAAATGGCCGCCCTTCGTTCTCAGATAGCGTAAAAATATGGTATATCAAGGTTGTGGAACCTATAGAGGTCACAATTTTTATCCGATTTTGTTGAAACTTGAAATGTAAGTTTATAACCCAAAGATCTCGGTTCCTTTCGATATTTGCGCATTTCAGACCATAACTTTCTGGATTATGGCCCCTGATTGTGCAAAAAATCGTTTTTGTTTTTAGCTTGTTCTCTATCCATCTCTTGCAAAATGTGGGTGTATCCTGCCTGGCAGCCACTGGTTGACCTACATTTACAATTTTGTATTTCGTTTTTTATAAACACTATCCACTATTTTACATAAACATTTCCTTTATTATTACATTAGCTAAGATGACACACAGATATGGGCACTATCTGAATGACATCACATTTTATCCTACAGTAGGACCTTAAATCCCATTTTATTTAATTTATCTAGAATAGAACTTTGTTGAAGGAAATGCGCACCCATTCCCCCCAAACACTAGTCTATATTTATATAAACATGACAATCAGAATATGCCTAGCTTTTAATTACACATAGTTTCATTCAACTCACCACTGAAGTCACATGACTTTCACACGCGTCAAATTTAACATAGTGTACCAGACATAAAAAGTACAATGTAACATGTCAAATTGCAGATTCCTAACCACCTTGTGTGAACAATTTAAAGCAAAATTCAATAAATGACACAAAATAGAATTAAGCAAATTTAAAGATGTATTTAACGTTTATATTACGTTTCTAAAGCAAAATTTAATTACATAAAATTACATACCAACAAAATCTACCGTATACCTCCACTTTTCTAAAAAGTGTCTTATTCTTACCTTAACCTTGTATTAATGACTTTGCGATAATCTCACAATTTAACGAGCCGTTAATTTTAGATTTCCCAGGAAAAACTATACCTAAATCCCTAGATTAACCACATGGGATTTTTAACATAACTCAACTTTTTATTCAAAAGTTAAACACCATAATTCTGAAACTTGGACTAGAGTCTCAAAGCTACATTAGTTTTAATTAGCTAACTACATATGGGTCATTCCATGAAGTTGACACTTTGTTACCTACGATTATCAGTGTGATGATAAAATACTCAAGAAACATAATTCAATAAATGAATTGTTGATAATTATTTTGGGGGTCTGATGTAAAGATAATATTAAAATGTCATTTTGTGAAATAAAAAGAATTCACTTGAAAAAAAGATGTGTCAAATGCATTTTGTACAGTTTTACATGCACCAAAAGTGTGACATTTTCATACTCCTGAACTTTGATTTGATCCTCACTTTATCTTAGGTGTTTAAATCAACTATCCGAGGTGCAGTTGCAAAGATTTAATGTTCAATTTTCCAAATACTGCACAACAAGGGCATCGATTTAGCTATTTGTTAAGATATCTTCACCCAAAAATAAAGAAAAAATCGTAACTGTGTCGGGTCAACTTTGTTACGTACGCTAATGACACGATTAGACGGAGCGCTATTGTGTGACATACTTAAATAATGTCGTAAAATGTAATCACTCTTATTCCATCTTAGAAAAGGCAAAATGTTTATCGGCTATACTTTTGAAATGTTTTAAACTGTAGTCATTACGAAAAGTGTTGCTTGTTGGTCAATATTACGTTCGCGCGATTTCCTTCTCTTTTTACGCCGTCGAGGGCGATCGAGAATTTAACGACATCATACAACTCATTTACAGCATAGACGACTTGTTAATGGCATCATGGCGGGAAAAGAAGTGGAAGATATGGAATTCGGTAAGGAAAATGGGATTTGTCAATTAGTTACGTACATTTGAATCGCATGTGTCAAGTTACGATCAACATATGAATACTTAAAACAATATGAATGTTCCTTTTATTTTATTTACATAATTATAGAATACTTTTATTCAAACTTTTGTTCCGCAAAACAAATGGTTGCCTCGCCGATCTTGGGAACAAACCGGGATTGGATTGGTTGGTAACTTGACACGGTTAAGCTTTCAGTTGAATGTCAAAATTACTAACAACCCCTGTCTGCACACTTATTTAATTATTTGTTAAATCTTTACAAAAAAACTTATCTTTTGAAATAGTTCATGGTTCTATGGATGCTGTCATCCTTATGTACCTATACCATATACCTGTTCCAGGCTGTTGATGAAAATAAGTATTGATAACAATGACCAAACAACTGCTCTTAAGAAATTTTTGTTACCAACACAGTTATGTTTCTTGTTGTTTAGATTTTATGCAAAAATGGATGTACTTATTTAATCTGCATGTACTGAACACGTATATTGAATTCCAAAATAGTGTAGAATTAACCTTGTGTTCAAATTTCTTTCTAGGTTGTTGATTGGCCATATGTATCTCAAGTACTTCAAACCAGCAGGGAATTTTTGGTTGGAAAATTAACTGTTATTTGAATCTATAATAGGAATAGCAGTCGAAAATTGCTTTGATTCTGTTCACAACATGAAAATGCTGCTCCCTATGTAAACAAGCCTTCTGTCATCTTTGTTTTGCAAAATCTGATGACCAAAAGAGCCTTTCGTCATAAAATCTGATGACCAAAAGAACCTTTCGTCATCTTTGTTTCGCAACATCTGATGACTTGGTCTGATTTTAATCTGACTGAATCTATGCAGGGAAATTATCTAGTGCTAATGTTTTGATTTCTTAGTTAAGTATTAAGTCAGTCAATGTTGAGTACCAGCATTGGTTACGAAGAAGAAGAAGATATTTTCTGATTAATGCAAATCCCATGTCGTTACTTGAATTAAATCAGTATTGATGCTTTATCCGTCCAATTTAATTAAATCAGTATTGATGCTTTATCCGTCCAATTTTATTTAATTAAATCAGTATTGATGCTTTATCCGTCCAATTTAATTAAATCAGTATAGATTCTTTATCCGTCTAATTGAATTAAATCAGTATTGATGCTTTATCCGTCCAATTATTTTACCATTATTGTTATGTCATTTACATTAAACCCCATTTTATTTCTTGTGTCATTTTTATTTTGTCTTTGTTTTTAAACTGATCACTGTGTTACATGTTGAATAATAAATGAAATATTAAATCATATTTCCAAAGTCGTAACTTATTTAATGATGGTTGTTCGAGAGAGGTGGACTTGACTCAAGATTATTTCAATAATTGGCTTGTGCATAGGGCTTTAGCAGTGGGGGTAAATGATAGTCCTTGGCAAAACCCACAAGGTTAGACGGGTGACCCTTGTGCTTGTCACATACATGACTAACATCCACATAATCATTTGTATTTGAAGGTGATAGCCTCTTGGGATGGTTAAAGCAATTTTTAT